CGTGGTGGCATCACGCACCTTTTCAATGGCGTTCTCCACATTGGATGGTGCATCCGTGAAAAGCATCACGTCGGATGAAAAAATGAGGCTACCCCAGTAGGGGCATCGCGTACCTCTCCTAACGAAGTAGACATCATTAATAGAGGTGGGCCCCTTGGGAGGCATTAAACACCTCTTTAAGGGGTTAATAAAACTCTAATTCTCTTCTTTGGGGTCTCCACTTGTTCTTTCGTCAAGATCAACTCCTTTTTTTAAAGGGAGGGGGGGCTAGGTAGATATTTTGGTAAGCTTTTTTCCGTGGATATTCGTGGTTATAGTAACTGTTTCCCATAGGCGGCGTCAATTTGTTGACCCTAAAAAATGTCCCCGACACGTGGCCAACAGAATATTTCCACGTAAGCTCCTTCCTGCGCAAGGTAGAGCACCATTAGTCATTCGTCACCTTTTTTGGTGGGGGTGAAAGTTGTCACGAACACTCCGACGGTCAAGTTAGCAAATTGGAGAACTGAATGTGAGACCTCCGTCAATGGTGTTCGTCGGAATGTGATCTCTTGTGGTGGTGGTGGTGACTGAGTGTAGAGCTTATGTTTATTTTCTCAATTCAGGGACCCATATCTAGGGCTGGGCAAAATGTCCGAATCTAACCGGAACCGAACCGAGCAGGTTTTTTTAAATGAAATACCCGAACGGGTATCCGAATCGAGAATCGAATGATTTGGTTCGGTTCTCGGTTCTAGACCCAAAACCGAAGAACCGAATAAGAACCGAAATTTTTTTTTTTTTTATATTGGATAAATCAATTAATTTTATTTTTTCTAAACAAATTANGCCCCATTTGGGGCGGGGCCCCGCGGGTATCGGGTCTGTCGGGTTTTTTTGCCATCCCTACCGTGGTGGCATCACGCACCTTTTCAATGGCGTTCTCCACATTAGATGGTGCATCCGTGAAAAGCATCACGTCGGATGGAAAAAGGAGGCTACCCCAGTAGGGGCATCGCGTACCTCTCCTAACGAAGTAGACATCATTAATAGAGGTGGCTCCCTTGGGAGGCATTAAACACCTCTTTAAGGGGTTAATAAAACTCTAATTCTCTTCTTTGGGGCCTCCACTTGTTCTTTCTTCAAGAACAACTCCTTTTTTAAAGGGAGGGGGGGCTAGGTAGATATTTTGGTAAGCTTTTTTCGGTGGATATTCATGGTTATAGTAACTGTTTCCCATAGGCGGCGTCAATTTGTTGACCCTAAAAAATGTCCCTGACACGAGGCCAACATAATATTTCCACGTAAGCTCCTTCCTGCGCAAGGTAGAGCACCATTAGTCATTCGTCACCTTTTTCGGTGGGGGTGGAAGTTGTCGCGAACACTCCGACGGTCAAGTTAACAAACTGGAGAACTGAATGTGAGACCTCTGTCGATGGTGTTTGTCGGAATGTGATCTCTTGTGGTGGTGGTGGTGACTGAGTGTAGAGCTTATGTTTATTTTCTCTATTCAGGGACCCATATCTAGGGCTGGGCAAAATGTCCGAACCGAACCGAACCGAACCGAGCAGGTTTTTTTAAATGAAATACCCGAACGGGTATCCGAATCAAGAACCGAATGGTTTGGTTCG